AAAATAATATATGTTGATACTTGGTTAAGTGTGTTAGCCAAAATGCTACCTATGAAACCTAACTAGATTCAAAAAACAGAAGCAATATTATTGGGAACTTCAACAGTATTCATCTCAACTCCTCTTTTTAGACTCTAAAGAGCTTGTTTTTATGTACAAGATTTTTGGATTTTTTAGTGCCTTGCTAATGACAATCATGTTACCTTGGGCATTAGGTTGTTTCAGCCCAGTATAGGTTTAGTGTGAGGTATATATATTGTAGTTGGACACAGTGTCTAACATTTATTTTATTTATTTTTATGTAGTGTGAGGATTGAACTCAGGACTTGCACATGCTAGGTGAACGCTCTACAGCCAAGCCACAACCCCAGCCCTAGTGTGAGGTTTATTGTTAATGAGTAAATGTAAATTTGTATTTTAGTTGATCTCCTGATGTATTTGATTTTTTTAATCGATTTGTCATCTTATTAGATTACCATAGTTTTATTTCACTATGTAACTGATAAAGTTTGTGTTAGGAGTAAGGTGTTTGCATTATTTTTTGTTAGGTGTACCTGTATTGGTATTATCTTCATTATATCAATTCTTTTCAGGAATGAATCAGTGCTTACTAGTATATAACAGATTAGCACTGATAACCCCATGTAGTACATGCGTCAGGTGTTTTTCTTTCACATGAAACGCCTATACAGTTCCTCCTTTACATTTTTAATTGTTAAATTTAAGTATAAGCTAATTCAGCTGAACTCTCCTCTCATAAGATGTATGTATATAAGAAGGAAAAAACAAGTCAAGGGGTAACTACTGAAAAAAAAAATTTAACTATCCCATACCATTTCCCTCATACAGTACTGCAAGTGTTTTGTGTGGCAGGTAAAACATCTGCCCCATCCACCAAGTGCTGCTGTCAGAGCCAATTCTTGTGCACTATTGAATATTGAGTTTATTGAATTATTTTTAAATATAAGCAGTGAAATTTCTTTACTTGATTGGATCATGCATATTTCATGCATTCTGTGACCTCACTTTGGGAATTTTTCTTTTTTGAAGACCTAAAGATTCATTCTTGCATTCCTAACCCTTAGCACAATGCTTGGAACATATTAGATTTTTAGTAGTTTGTTGGATAAGAGACTGTGAAGTCTTACCTGATCCAAATAGAACATTTTTAGTAAATATTAGAGATTAGAATTAGTGTGGATATATGTCATATTAAGATAAAATTAAAGGGATAGTTTAAGAATGAAGGACTGGTATGTGTAGCTCACTGGCAATAACCTTGCTTAGCATGCAGGAGGCTCCATATTGGATTCCCAACATTTATACATTGAATTGGAGGGAAAAATGGGGGTGGTTATGGGAGCAAATAAAAGATTGTACATCATTGCATTAATCTTTGAATCGTGTGATGTGATCACTGAAGTTTTTGCAAAAGAACCAAAGAAATAAGAATATCTTGTCTCACTTTCAGAGATGGGTTAGGTGTGC